TTGCTAGGTGTAGTGATCCCACTGCCATTGCTAAGTGGGATGCTAATAGTCCCTGCCATCAGGTGCTTACAGAAGGAAGTGCTGAATTACCAGGTAGCTGTTATCATTGAACAATTTAGCGGAAATAAAGAATGTAAGGAATGTGAGTTGCTTCTGGGTGCCATAAAGAAATTTGAGAATGAAAACAATGAATTTGGGGTAATATCAACACATTTCAGCATAAGGTCTAGGCAAAGAACTAGAAAGTTTCTGTGACAGCTGTGAAAAAAATCCTTATTTCTTGTTGTTGCAGTATCTGACATTTCTGAAAACCAAACTCAAAGGCTAAAGGCTAATGTCATGAGCAGGTGGATTACAATACCAAGTTAACTCAAAGTCTCTTATACAGTAACCCCCCTACGTACGAACATGCTCCATTCTGAGAGTATGTTCTTAAGTCTAATTAACTCATAAGTCCAGCAAAGTTAGTCTAGGTACTCAACTGTCATAATTGACTGTAACACTGTATTGTTATAGGTTTATAACACCTTGCACACAAATAATACATAAAAATCACAAAAATAACATTTTTAATCTAACAGTAGAGGACTTTGAAAAGTACAGTAGTACCAGTTACCTCACCTCTGCTTTTACGCTTGCTTCCTATATCCTGGGCTTGAAATACAGTATGCTATACAGTGAAAAGGAAATGAAAGTGAAGTCTCTCAGTGGGTTGCCATTTCTTTCTCCAGGGGATCTTGCCATCTCAGGGACTGAACCTGGGTCTCCTGCATTGCAGGCGGATGCTTTACCCTTAAAGTATGCAAAAGCACTTGCAGAGAATGTAGGCACATGACAATGTATGCCAGGCAGGAACTAACTTATACGATTGGATAGGCAAAGGCATGTTCGTATCTTTGAAAGTTTACAACTTGAAGGTTCGAATGTAGGGTACTTACTATAGTTAAAATTAGGGCCTTGATTGGCGTAGAGATAGGACCCCGAGTATTGAGATGGCAACATGTGGGCAGATTCTGATCAATCCAAGGCCCTGGGAGGCCCTCAGTCTCCTTTGCTAGAGGAAGCAGACTTTACTCCCCTGTGCGAGGAGTAAGGTACCCCTTTGCTTGGAGAACCTATGATGACCTTCCTCTCCTGTGGGGAAATGCTGAAACTCCTGAAGATCCACCTTCAGCACCTTTCATTGCTTCTATACCTGTAACTAGATTCAAGATTTGACAGGTAAAAAATAATGATATCATACATGTAGAAATAATTACAGTTTTTCTAATTTATATTTACATGACCAGAAGTTTATACTGCAAGTTTTTTCTCTTTCCTTTCCCATCAAAGACTTGCAACCATTTGCCAAGGTTATAGTGCTTTGGAGCAGCGAAATAACCAGATTTTTGGGGATATCTAAACACTGGCTCTGAAACGACACTAAATCTTGAAAACCCAATCTGCCACTCTTGTTTGCTTGTCAGAGTAGGATTTTATTGAGGCTGAATGGTTATGGTGTTTTGGTTCAGGTCCATCTCACTGTCTAGGCAGCTGGGCTTGGAACTCACCCCATGGTTATTTCCCAAGTTCTAGAATGTCTGATTGAAAAAGACACACTCAGCAAATATCAGAGTCACTATTTTGGTTATCTGATAAGTGAGGACAACTAGAAGATATTAGAACTGCCTCTAAATTCCCAGCTAGTAAATCCAAAGTAATCCTGCTTTCCTGGAGAAACTACAAAAATTAGTGCCTCCATAAAGGACTTAAAAGATACAGAGTTGACAATTTCCACTCAACTCAACTAATTGGCCTGAGCAGAAGATAGATGGCTCTTGAAGAATGACAAAGGATTACTGTAAACTTTATCAGATAGTGAATACAATTGCAGCTGCTGTTCCAAATAAGGTTTCATTGGTGGAATAAATCAGCAAATCCCTTGGTATCTGATTTGGACAGCAAGGAGATTCAGCCAGTCAATCCTAAAGGAAATAAATCCTGAATGTTCATTGGAAAGACTGATTCTGAAGCTGAAGCTCCAATAGTATGGCCACCTGATGCAAAGAGTCGACTCATTGGAAAATACCAATGCTGGGAAAGATTGAGGGCAGGAAGAGAAGGGCACCGCAGAAGATGAGATGGTTAGATAGCATCACTGACTCAATGGACATGAGTTTGAGCAAACTCCAGGAGATAGTGAAGGACAGGGAAGCCAGGCATGCTGCAGTCCATGGGTTTGCAATGAGTAGGACATGACTTAGCAACTGAACAACAACAATGAATAATTATTTTTTCTCTCTCTATACCTATTGGCAAAGACTGCCTGATGCTTTCAAATGTAATTTAATTTAATTTTATCTTATAAGTTTTTAAATATGGGAGGACCAGCAATATATTTTCATGTTTCACCTTAGAAATATATCAACTTTCCAACCCTGACTCTATTCCACAGAGAATTGATTGCCTCCTTATTCCACAAGACACACAAAACTATAGAGTTTGACCTACAAAACTATAAAGTTGGGCATGCATAGGAGTGAGAGTGGTATACACAGACTGGGCTTGAGCATTTCTTGAAGGTACAGGTAAATGGCATTAGCAAGTGGCTCAGATTTTTATGGATCCCAATTCTGCTACACTAGTCATTTTTTTTTTCCAGCTTATACCTATGGCCTCGTCAAGGTCAGAGGTATATTAGTCATGAGTATATAAGTATTAGTTACAATCATGGGGTGGGCAGAGAAGTAGGCTAAGGTTGGAACCAGAAAAAACAGCGGCATTTAAAGCAGGAAGGAGAGGAGAGTTGACTCGATAGGAATCATCATAGGTGTATCACTGACCACATTATGTTGCTAATATTTTAAATATTTATGAGCCTAACTTCCCAAGTAGACTGTGAACTCCTTGAAGGAAATAATTATAGCTCATCTTTTCTGTGCTTCTATACCAATTGTCCCAGTGCCTTGCACATATATACTTAATATATGTACATTTAAATGAATGAATGAATGAATAATTAATTAATGGAAAGACTCTGGTTTGACATTTCTAGTTGGTGCTTTCATCATTTAGTGTGACATTTCAGTGTAGTAGTTCTTCATATCTTTTCATTTTATCACTATTTTTTATTATACAAAGAATGCATATTTATTGAAGAAAAATTTAGAAAAAAGGAAAGCTAAGAAAGTTACTTTTAATCCTATTACCAGGAGTAACTGTTGTTAACATTTCATGTCTATCCTTTTAGACCACTACTATCAGCAGAAATACAATGTAAGCCATGCATAACTTAAAATGGTTTAGTATCCATATTAAAAGAGAGCATAAAGAAATAAAATTAATTTTGATAATATATTCTATTTAACCCAGTAAATCCAAAATATCATTTCAATAGGGAGTCAATGTAAAAAAAATCACTGATTTTTTTTTTTCATACTAAATCTTTGAAGCCTGGTGTATATTTCACATTTACAGCACATTTCAGTTTGAACTAGCTGCAATCCAAGTGTTCAACAGCCACAAGTAGGTGGTGGATATGTACTCAACAGGACAGTTCAACACTTTTTGATGTATATATAATGATGCAGCTATACATAAAATTACTATTTTCCCTCCACAAAAATCAGGTCAAATGAAACCTACAATTTTATAGGTTTTTAAAGTGATAAATTTTAGAGTAGTTTAGATTTACAGAAAAGTTGTAGAGATAGTACACTTAGTTTCCATACATTCCACCCCCAGGTTCCCTTCTAACATCTTTCAATGGTAACTATACTGCAAATAATAAACCAATACAGACATTGTTGTTAACTTAAGTTCATACTTTACTGGATTCACTTAGATTTTACCTAATGTCTTTTTTCTGTTTGCAAAATCCCATTGAGACTGCCACATTACATTTAGTCATCATGTCTCCTCAGGTTCCTCTTGGTTGTGACAGTTTCTCAGACTTTTCTCATTTTTGATGACCTGGGTAGTTTTGAGTTTTTACTGGAGGACATGGAAACCTGGCATGCTGCAGTTCATGGGGTTACAAAGAGTGGACATGACTTAGTGACTGAACAGCAACAACAGGAGTTTTGAGGAGTATTAACCAGGTATTTCATAGAATTACCTCACTTAGGAGTTCTTTGATAATTTCCTCATGATTAGACTGGGGTTATGGGTTTTGGGAAGGAAGACCACAGAGGTAAAGTACCACTTCTTATCATTTCATATCAAGGGGACCTGCTATCATCACGACTTATTTCTGTTGATGTTGAACATGATTACCTGGCTGAGATAGTGTTTGTCAAGTTTTCTCTTCTACCCAGTTACTCTTTTCCTGCCTTTTCTAACTGTCCTCTTTGGAAGGAAGTCACTATGTGCAGCTCACACTTAAGGAGTGGGGAGTTACGCTCCACTTTCTGCAGTATGGAGTGTCTACATAAACCACTTGAAATTCTTCAGCTTGGGATATTTGTCTATTTTCCCTCATTTACTTTTGAAATAATTTATGCATATCAATGACTCTAGATATTTATTTTCTACTTTAGGTTGCTACTTAATACTGCTTAATTTATTTTATTTCTCGAAGTGTTCCAGCTTTGGCCACAGGGAGATTCTTCAGTTGGTTCCTATGTCCCTTTGACATTGCCTTCGCACTGGTTTTTGTGATTTGTGTATGTGTTAAGCATGATGACATACTCCAGGATTATCCTGCATATTCCCTGCTCCAGCCTCAGAATCAGACATTTTCCCAAGGATCTCTGGTTCCTTTTATTAGAAATGGTATTTGAAACCAAGATATGGGATCCAGGCCTGCTCCTTGCTACTGGAGCATTTTCAAGAATGTCAAAGAAGAGATGTGAAGTCGGTTTTGAAAGATGGTGACTCTCAAAACGTAGAAATGGGGAGGAAGCGTATTGCTGGAAAAGCAAACAGCAGGAGCAGAATTTGGGAGCTGGGGAAAGCACAGTCTTTCAGGGGATCCAAGCTTTTTGAGTCGGCAAGATTCTTGGGAGGGACACTGTGGGGAGATGAGTGGAACAGCACTCAGCAAGGTGACCCTGAGCTGGAAAGGTCTGGAGGTGAGAGAACAGTTAAGTGTACAGTGTAGTGATGCAGGTACAGGTGTTAAGTCTGTCCCTCTTCCCTAGCACCCTGGGTGATGTGAGTTGATGTCCAACCCATCTAATTGGAACAGTTTGAAGAACTGAAGAGCTGGGGCTCAGGGCTGCTGCCCTAAAGTATGCTGTAGTGGCATCCGGATTCTTCTGAATTGAAGCTGTTTGAGAAATAGCTGATGCAATAAGGAAATTCTGACCCTCATCTGTCCCCCTGAAAGTAGGAAATAAACCTCTATGTGAAAAGTGTCCTTCCTGCATCTTATCACCAGAGATAGGTAATCTGGAAGAAAAATCTGTATAAACAAACTTTGTTACTTCTTTACCTCACTACCCCAAGCCCAGACTCTGTTTAGATTTTTCACTAATTGAGCATTTGACAATTACTAATGAAAAGTATAAAAGATGCCTGCTTTGGCCACTTCTTAGGTACCTTTTCCAAGAGAACTCTGTGTGCACAAATTAAAGTATATTTCTTTTTCCCCTGTTAGTCTTTCTTGTGTCAATTTTATTACAAGTCCAACCATAGCAACTCAAGGAGGGTAGAGGGGGAAATTTCCTCTCCTTGACAGGATGCTTTCTGAACTGTAGCACATCAATAGTTCTAAAAAGTTATTTTGAAGTATTTTGCTTCTTTAGTTCATTTTACCTCATGACTGTCTTTATTAGTGTTTTTTGTTATCTCTTTTAGTTGAAATATTAATAATGGAAAACTCAACTCATAATAGCTTACATCAAAAAGAGATTAATTGTGTCACATTGTTGGCATCCCACTTTCACTCCCTTATGTTTATCATTTCAAAGTGCACACTGCCCACTTCCTTCTGCCACCTCTTGAGTTTGGCAGATTTCAGTGCTGGGGAGTTAACACCCTCATCCGCTGGAGCTGTCCTCTGTCAAAGACACACAGGATTGGGGTATCAGTATCCTAGCTCCTTTGTCCCCAGTTGAGATAAGCAGAGATAGGTGCTTTGCGCTGGTTCCCAGAAGATTCCCTGGCAAGATTAAACATCTGGTGCCCAATGGCAGATGGCCTGACAACACACACTCTTTACTGGCTCACTCCCTTCCTGTCACTCTCCCTAGAGCTCACACCATGCATCCTGGGATCACTTCCTAACTAAACCACTTGCACTTGAATCCTTGTCCGCTTCTGGTGGAACACAAGCTCAGGTAGCTGAATTGTTCAATTGAAAATTCCAGATAGATCTTCTCTAATCACAGCAGAGTCCAGGGCCTCAAACAATGTTTCAGTAGCTCAGTTTCACTTCTTTCAAGATCATGCTCTTCTCTTTTGATGGCAAGAGAGTTTCTGGAAGCTCTAGGTTTACATTGTTTAAAAAAAAATTTACCTGGATAAATCTGAAGATCTAATTGGTTTTTTTCAATGATTCATGAATCAGGCAGCATCCCATGTAGCAAAACATGGGGTTGTACAAAGTAAAAGGTTTTTATAGGCAGAAGGAAGGAGGGACAAGAGGTATTAGCAAAAGGAAAAAAAAAGATGGTTTCAGTCCAGGACCATTTTCTCATGGGGAAAGGGAACATCAGGGTTTTTATCACAGATAGCCTCACTGGTATTAATCAGGAAATTTCAGATTGACTGTTTTAAAGGTCATGTTTCTGGAATAGGTTGAAACTACAATTGAGTCTTGATTTCCTTTTGTGGGAGATGGGGCAAATGATTCCACTTGGGGCTTGTTATTGCTTTTTAACAACATCCTAACCTCTTCATCTTCAGCAGCATTCCCAAAAGTTCCGTCTTAAATTTGGGATGTGGGCTTGGATCATGTGTGCATCCTTGAACCAATCATTGTGGTCAACGAGATGAACTATGCTAACTGGTCAGGGCATCCAAGGATGGGGTCAGCTTTATCCAAACCCACACATGGGGTAGAAGGAGGCATGTGTGTTTGCTTGTGCTCAGTCAGGCCTGACTCTTTGTGGCCCCATGGACTGTAGCTCACAGGGCTCCTCTGTCCATGGGATTTTCCAGGCAAGAATACTGGCGTGGGTTGCCACTTGCTGCTCCAGAAGATCTTCCCGGCCCAGGGATCCAACCCACATCTCTTGTGACTCCTGCGTTGGCAGGCGGATTCTTAATCACTACACCACCTGGGAGGCCTAGGAGGAGAGGAAGCTTGTTTATCCAGAGAAGATCAAGGTGCTGTCACCAGAAAAGGGGTGTGGATGTTGGGCAAGCAGAAATGACAGCGGCATACCTTGATGGGCTGTACTTAGACACCAGACACAGAGATGAAAATGCTCTGGAGGCTGGGGTCTTGTAACCACGACTCTTTCTTTTATACCAAATGTGGGAAGATTGGTTTGAGAACATTCATTAGCTTCTCTCTAGATCCAGCAGAACCACCCATCATGCCTGTGTCTTCCCTCTTCCTGTTCTGTGGGTTGTCTTCTCCTGGAGCAGGTGGCTGTCTCGTGCCGAGCCCTGGGGGTTTTTGTAAGGCGCTTCCTGTCACTACCCTCACCGTGGAACTCTCTGACAGCACAGAAATAGGTGGCCGAGTCACTCAGTGTCAAGACTGAGATGGTGAGTTTCAGCATTTGGTTGGGTTTGTAAAATTCCACAGAATATCGTCCTTCCCTTGCGTGCTTGCTTTGAGAATAAATATTAACCATGCAAATCATCTCTCCACTGGAAGGCTGTCGATACCAGTACATCATATAGTAAGTATAGCTGACTGAGAACTTGCATTCCACGGTCACAGATTCCCCCTCTTTTTTATACACTGTAGGTACATCGGCGCTCTCAACATTGTTGGAACCTGTAGAAAAGAAGGGAAAAATGACTTATTTGTTGGTGATGCTCACAAGAAAGCTGCCACAGTAGCCAAGTTTTGACCCAGGAAATAAAGTGGAGAAAAGCATTGTAGGATTCTATTCTAACTTCTTTCCCAAATCTCCTTCCTCAAGCCCCAGCTGCAGGGTTGGGGAGCTCCCTACCGAGGCAGATGAGGGCCACGACTGCGCACAGGAAAGCAGGTGGTCCAGACTGCATCCTTGGGGTTCTTCCCACTAGTGATGTGGCTCTTATTCTGCCTGCCACCTGCCAGGCCCTGGCAGCGTCACTGGAGCTGGGCGGTCCTGTGGCCTCCCTGCTGCAGAGCCGGAAATGGGGTTTCTGCCTGTGCATGCTTAGTCGTGTCACCTGCTGTCTGTGCTTACCCTCCCACCTGTCTTCCTCCAGGCTTGCTACTTTTCTTTAATAAATATATAACATATAGTATATTTTTTGTTATAAGGAAAACATCAACATAGAACCAACAAGTATAAAAGTGTAACAGAGATATAAAATTCAACTATAATCTCATTCCCCAGAGATGTACACTGTTAACATTTCATTATATTTCTTTTAGCATCTTAAAGTAAACAAATGTGCTTACTTTAAAGGAAACTCTCACTTGTTTATCACTGTGTTTATGAATATACCATCATGTCATTCAATTATATGTTAAAATGCTATTTTTACAGCTTTGGACTACTCTGTTGTGTAAGTGTACCTTAATTTGTTGAAATATCATTGGTTGACATTGTATCATTATATTTGTTTTGCCTAATTTAAATACAATTTAGTGAACATTGTAAATGTGAGTCTATGCATTTCTGCTGACTTGTTTTTATGTTAACCAGGTTTTTTTTTGAAGTATTTTATTATGGAGAATTCAAACATCTACAAAAGAAGAGAGAATAGTGTGATAAAACAGCATATATTCATTACCTTGTTTCCACAATTATAGACTTATGGCCAGTTAACTAATCTGCTTGCCAATCGTCCTACATATCTATGTACCTCCCCCAATTCTGACTGATTTAAAGTAAACGCCAAACATCATGGTATTGTGTACTTTCCTGGGCAGATACATAATGTCAGCTTGACTGTGTGTGTGTGTTGTTAGTGACTTTAATAAGCAATGAAAAGATCTATTCTTCAGCTATCCCCTGGAGAAGGGATAGGCTACCCACTTCAAAGCAGTCAATCTTAAGGGAGATCAACCCTGAATATTCACTGGAAGGATTGATGCTGAAGCGGAAGCGCCAGTAGTTTGGTCATCTGATGTGAACAGATGACTCACTGGAAAAGTCCCTGATGCTGGGAAAGACTGAGGGCAGAAGGAGAAGAGGGCTTCAGAAGATGAAATGGCTGGACAGCATCACCGATGCAATGAACAGGAACTTGGGCAAACTCTGGGAGACGGTGAGGGACAGAGAGGACTGGTGTGCTGCAGTCCATGGGGTTGCAAAGAATTGGACACGACTGGGCTGTTGAACAACAACAACAACCTACTCCAGTATTCTTGGGCTACCCTGGTAGCTCAGATCGTAAAGAATCCCCTTGCAATGTGGGAGACCTGGGTTTGATCCCTGGGTTGGCAAGATTCCCTGGAGGACGGCATGGTAACCCATTCCAGTATTCTTGCCTGGAGAATCCCTATGGACAGAGGATCCTGGCAGGCTACAGTCCATGGGGTTGCAAAGAGTCAGACATGACTAAATGACTAAGCCCAGCATTGTTTGGTTGGGACTTGGTTGGCAAAATGATATTCTAATTATATAATTTTTACTTCACTTATTAACTTTATGATATTTCTATATATGTTTATTATTGCTATATATCTTTATAATATTTCTATAAAGATATTTTCCTTGTCAATATTTTAATTACTCTCTGTGATCGAGTATATGATTATTTATCAGTCTTCAGGATAATGAGTTGATTCCCTGTAACGTGACCAGTCATCCCTCTTTGCCTGAGATGAACATGTTTCTCAGGACATGAGGCTTTTCGTGTCAAACCTGAACAGTCCCAGGCAAACCCTGTGCAAATCAGGACAAATCCCCAAAAGGAACTGAGGAGGATGTTTTTGTGACCCCATGAATTTAAATATACTTGATGTGTTGCAATCCATTGGATTCATTTTATTATTGATTCAAGAATCATTCCATCTTTAGCCAGTGAAAATCTTTTCAGGTTTGCTCTCA